GAGTGATAGGATTCCAGGTCCTGACACGAACATGAGACAACCGAGTAAGTCGTGGATCTCGTGGAACGTTCCAACGCTTCTCGATGATGCTAACCAGTAATTCATTCCGCCCTTCCAGCCGGATGTCGTCCGTAAAAAGCTTGTTTGCGCTCAGCTCAAGGACAGACAAACTAGGGAGCATCACACCCCTTTCGCCTGAGAGGCCCTTGAGAAACCTCGCAGGATCGCTGTCATTCTCCGAATCTGCCAAAAGGAGAACTAATTTGCGAAGCCGGGGAATATATGAGAAGAATTGATCTGGGTCCAGAGTGTCCTGCGATATTCGCAGCGTAAGAGTCTGCAGCTGACTCCCAGAGCGGGCAAAGAATTGAGATATTGTTAGGTTGGGAGATGGATGGTCGGCATGTGGCATAGTGAATGATAGGTATTCCAATACCGGGCAAGTGAGGCTGCTGAGTAGGAAATGAGAGTATTCGAGGCCCAGCGAACGGAGCTTCAGGAACGTTAGTGGAGCGATGGTGGCTACCTCAGAGTCGCAATGAAGCACGGTCCTCTCCGTCAACATTTGAAGACTTGGACAAAGACAGAGAAGCGCCACGATCAACTCCACGCGACTAAACTTCGCAAAGGACATGGTCAAATGCGTGATATGCGGCCACGGAAAGGGAATCGTGGACATGCCGAAAGGAGGCATTTTTACGTCGAAGTCAAATCCGAGAGATCTGAGGTTGGGCGCGTTTCTGAACATACCCAAGATGGTAGCAAGATCATCCATGGAATCTTGGTATCTCATGGAAAGTGACCTCAATGAGGGGAAATCGACTTGGGGGAAATCGAGTAGTGATCGTGTCCATTGAGAAGAGGGACCGCCCAACAGGCAGATGTCTTCCCATTGCCGTGAATGCTGCATCAAAGTCTCAATGATGGTATCTGGAAAAATGTGATATATCCATATCGTCATGGAGAGCCCATTCTGTTTGGTCCGCCGAAGCGCCTCCCGGAACATCCTTGGTCCGATTTCTCCCGCCAGTTCAAGTTCCCAGTTCGCCAGAACAAAAGACGACCACAGGGCGGGGTAAGTCTGGGAAATATCTCGCCATCGACGACAGACTCTCCCCAATAGCCACGGACCGTCGTGTAGGGACTCGAGAATGCTATATGAGCCTGAGACTGTGAGGAGAAATATCTTGGACAGAATTTCGGGAGGAAGGGAGTGAACAGGCGGGATTTGCACGGCTTCAGGCTCCATTGAGACGCCTTGCAAACAAGGGATGAATGTATCTGTATCTAGAGAGACAGAATATTCGTCAGCAGTATGAGTAACGGCATCGACGCTCACCATTGCCATCCGTTATCGTCATTGTTCTCTGCATCTTCATCTAGCTAGAGATAAAATCAACAAAATCTGATTTATCTCCTCCTTCAACAACAAGAATACCAGTTGCGGCAGATCGCGCTTAGAGGAAAAGATTGGTTTCAATGAGTGTTCAACGTTGGCGGTCGATTAGTGTGACGTCAACCGGTTGGTCGGCTGTCTCTATCCGAGATCGCCGGGTAGCTTTAGAATTTTCTGGGAGTCTTTCATCGTTCGCAACAGCACTAAAAGTCTAATTATACAGAGTACGAGAAATCAAATGGAAGTTAAAAACTGTGGATCTCCTCAAAATCGCCTTCAAACACGCAAGTGGGAACGACGAGGAAGAAATACGGTCCATGCGCGAGCCACAAATTGAGGAGGTAAAACAAGGGATAGCAAACAAGTATACAACAGGCAACACGTGCGTTGAAAATCCTTAACAGCACGCACGAAGCTATTCGGTACCTAAGCCATCCGCACAAGATAACCACACAGTACTCGCTTGACGCACCGTGCGACGGTGGGATCTAGCCAACAAATTAGTAAACCTGAGCGAATACCATGGCAAGTACTGCCCTATTGGCACTGCCGCGCACAGTCGCAAAGTGATACATTTGAGCAGCATGTCATTATAAGCAGTCGAGTGACCACCCACGAAGGTAAACCTCCATTTCTTGGCTACAGCATGACATGCACCTGGACATAACCGCTTGAGTACCGCATACGGTCGACACAGCAAGGATACCCCACATTTCTTGATCTCGCTCAACAGCAGGCCAACCACTTGTAAAACGTTCACGCGGCACAAGCACTATCATGGTAAACGCACCCATAGGCATCCGTAGCTTGAAGCATCTTCTATCTATAGATCGCTCGAAAGTAAGATCTGCCTAGAGACAAGTAAGCAACAGAAGCAACACACAACAGGAAGGACTTACAAAGAAAAAGCAGAGTGAAGTGTTTACGAGGAGGGGTGTCCGCACGAAGCGGACTAAGGTCCCAAAAATTGAGGCTCAAGGCCTACCGCGGCAAATGCCATGCTCCCCTCAAACGAGGATGGAGCAGAATAACCAGGTATTACGCATTCATGCTGACAGTGATTCAGGCTAGATAGAGACAAGCTCGACATCTGCTGCCGCATGAGCGCATGTCGATCTTTGCCACAAAAGAGGGCAGAGGTAGGAAGATACATTTCCGCGTCAACTCCCGGATCGGGAGGCAAAAGTCAGCCGTTCAAAGGAGAAAACAAACGACAGCCCAAGTACGAATCGGACTAGAGAGAGTTCGGATATCGAGATCGCCACCGAGCATCGCAGATAAGATCATGCACTGCAGATAAAACATCAGTCTAGTTGGTGAAGAAAACAATGCAAGGCTTACCTCCACCAGCGGCCCGTGTGCTGTACACATTGTCCGCAAGGCGGCGCGGAACATACATGGCGCAACAGGCTGCGCAGGGATATACAAGATAGCATTTGGCAGGACAACCAAATGAAGAGATACATGGCGCAACAAGCTGCGCTAGGATATACATGCAAATATTTGGAGAAACACAACCAAATCGAAGAGAAAAGCACAGGAATAACAGAGTCCGGGGCATCGAGGTCGTCACCGAGATCACAGAAAGGATAATTCACTACGAATATGATATTAGTCTAGGCGGTAAATGAAGTAAATGCACGGCTTACCTCCACCAGCGGCCCGTGCGCTGTACACTGTCCGCAAGGCGGCGCGAAACCACACATGACGCAACAGGTTGCGTGTCAAGAGTACACGCAGAAGTTTGGAGACAGCCAAACGAAAAAGAAAAGAGGAGATACATGGCACAACACACTGCGCGTGGATATACAGGATATCGTTGGAGAGACAGTCCAACATTGACAAAAAGGACAAGACACTGAAGGAAAGTTGGGACAGTAAATCGGCGCAGAAACCGAATAACCGCCACTTCGACCTGCATTGCATAGTTAGTACGACGACCGAAGAAAATCGGGAGAACTCACAGATAATAGCGAAAACTCTTAACGGGCCAAGGTCTAGACTGAAGCTGAAGTGTATACACCTTCGATAGATGTTGGGCGACGATAAAAACCTACGAAGAAGTAACAACGCCAAGACTCAGAAGGTGACACAGAGGGGAGGCTCAGGGCAACGAAAGTCATCGGAGTAACATGACCGGGACAGGATCGTCACCAGGATATAACCACGGCGTGCTCGCTCGCTCGTGCCAGTAAGCGGGGTAATCTCGAAGGTGGCGTCCGAGAGCATGTCTTCGGAGATATACCTAGGTCATAAGGAACACAGTTTTCACTAGAACGGATGTCAGATAAGTCAATTTCTTCCCAGTGAGAGTAGACGAGCCTCATACCTCTGTTGAATGGGATACAATGTGGCGCAGCTACGACGGTAGCATAGAGTCGTCCTCTCGCGTCCGTATTACCACCAGAGAGTATGGATCAGGAGATGTCGACGTAGCAAGTTCGCCGCAAGTATCACCACGCCACGGAAGATCTTCATCATCGGTGGCGAATCCGGATGGCGCCAGCCATAGTACCCAAGAACTGAAGGCGATAAAGAAGGGCGATGTCAAATCAGCCAACGTTGTAAAAAGATATTCAAGAGAACCAAGTGTGAACTCACTTTCATGCGTGTGGCGCAAAAGGTACCATTGACTAGTAGATGCGGTCTGGAGACATACGTACCCAACAACGTCGTGAGACTAACAGCGATGGTATAAATCCATTCTGCAGGCACGTCGTTCGTCAGGCAACCCAAACACAGCATAGCATCGACTCCAAAGTGGTCTAGTGAATGTGGCTCAAAATATTATCGTCCATAATGATAGAATTTATGCGAAACAGGGACCAGGAAGATATCGTTAGTGGAACCCTGCGTTCTCTTGGGGAAAGGGTGGCACCGATGATCAGTATCGAGCTCCTGCATCTTCGAGTTGGAGGTGGCGATGTGGTTCAACCACGGTTCGCCTTAGAGAGCAACAACCGTCGCCTTCGAGGAAAGAGCCACGAAAGAGTGTCGGTCTGTGTCGATGGCTAGGACATGGACATAGTAGTGGTAGCAGAGAGAAAGGAAGTCAAATGTCAAAACCAAGAAGCCACGCCCTTTTTATAGCAGCGGTAGTTGTGCCACCCAAACAGATCCAGATCTCCACAGCCCAGAATCAATCATATCCGAGTCACCTAAGGACAAAAACAAGTGATAGGGCCAGGGCCGGCACCGGTTTCTTGTGGCGCTGCCGCGGTGTTGGAAGTTGGGAGCCAGCTGTGACCCAACCGGTCAATAATTTGCCAATCCGGTACAGAATATGCTTTTTTTCAGCAGGGCATAACAGACAGGAAGCAATGAACGCGAGAATGAACATGAGCCACTGTTGCCAATTGGAGGACAAAAGAAGATCGGGTCCAAGACGCGTTCCCTATTTTTGGAGATCCGGCGTCTTGAATCCAAGCCGGCCGTTCCGAAATGCCTGTGCGCCGTGAGAAGACTGACACCTGTTGAATGACCAAAAAGCGCCCGCAGACTGAGCGCCCACGATGTATCACACAACTTCGAGTTATTTAAGTTCTTAACTTCTCATATAGACGAGGCATACGTCAAACAAAAATATCTTATTCCAACAAAAACACTCTCTGGCTGGGAGTCGAACCCAGCTTTCGCGCGAAAATCAACAAATGACAGGCGCGTGTACTAACCGATATACTACCAGAGATGCCCAACATTTTTAATTTATTAGCAATATCAATACTATACTTGCACTCAAAATTTGGGTCTTCAAAATGATGAGATCTTCTCCTTCTCCTTCCTCCACGAACCCCTTCCAACTTACGCTGAGTGAGTCAAAATCTTCAATCTCTCTGGATTCGAAGGCGATTTCTTTGCATACGTAGAGTTATCAGACTACCCAATGAACCTCAATCTTAAAGGCTGCCTTTCCTCGTTCCAAATTACGCTATGTGGTTGTCTCATGGCTTGTTATATTTACCAGCAACGCGATAACGGGCACATAGAGCACTAGCTTTTACCCGGCTCGCTTATATCTGCGATATAACCGCCGAGCGGTGAGAGACCATTATCTCACTATATCCGATTTCGCTTCTTCTCCAGCCTGAGAATTGATATTGTCAATGTTTCGTGAACGACCAACCCGGGTTCATGCATCATGACGCGTCGTAGAACTCTTGCAAAAACACACGGTGACCCCGACAACTTTTTGCTTCACGATGGGGGGATAATCTACAAGGGCGGTACATGGCACTGATTTCATGGATATAATCTCAAGTTCGTCATCGATTAACACTATTTGTATGCCTGCCCTTTCCATGAGCAACCAGCATTCGGACCGGGGAAAACTTCAACTTCCTGCAATTAATGTGGTGCGGCATGGCAAGCAACCTTAAACTGTAACGCTCTCACTGACTCTTCTCTGTTTTGGATCTTTCAATATCGATGGTAAGTACGCCGGTAAAGGTCAGAGTAAAGCTAAGCTAATGTCCCTTAGAAGTTAGCACAGAATGTTTGGCCTGGGACGTGTGCGATACCCATGTTGTGGCTCGCCTCTGCCCAATCACGTCGCATCCCTTTCACACGGAGGTCCGAAAACAAGTCGGCCGAATCCACGACGGAATCGACGGTCCGACTCGTTATCAATTTCAAATGTTTTGTTCAAAGATTTCCCGCAACGACCACTCATGTTCGAGCTCGTGCCTGCAGTGCAGCGCTCGTTTACTCCGTCCACGTAACTCATGATCTAGTTACTCTCTTGACCGCCTAACCGCCGATTTTTTTGGAGTCTATGTGTCGAGAAAACGAAGAGGACGGTAGCTTTGCTTTACGACAAACACTCTCACTCGGAAGGTATTCGGAAATCGGAACTTAAAGCAGCAGAAGACGGTATATATCAAACGGAACTCGATAAAGGACGACCATCCTTTGTTACCGTGTGCAGTAATGGGTTATTCTGCGGGATTTCTCATCTATTCGGGCGTCATGCCCTTGCTGAAGATGTAAGGAGTCATTTTTATTGCATATACTCCTAGCTGAGAATTTACACACAGGTTCCTTACCATCTTCTTCGGATTTTGGCTGACACGAAAAGGCTTCTTTACGGCTGCCGCGTCTAGAGGAACGTCCCAAGTATGATTACATCTTGTGTTGTTGCCAATTTGTCTCAATTCTTCAAATAGGTAACAATGAATGTCGCGCTTCCTGGTCTGCTCTTCTCAAATATCGTTCCCGCCTTCAACAAGCAAAATGTGTCGGCTATGGGTCCACTTTTCCTGGTCGCCTTCGTGAGTCGAGCCAATTACACCTATACTCGCTCATTCTAAGACGCTTCGTCAGGTTTACATGGCCTTTGGACTCTTATTCGGCGCGCTCATCCGTGAGTTTTGCTATGTTCCGCGGAACTTTTGGGCTGGGATTTTGATGGCAACTGCTATGAGCAACTGGGGAAACTTACGTACGTGCGCCGAGCATCTTTTGCTTGTCTTGCGCTGAGGTCTCTCTAGCCACGGCTGTGGTTCTCACTGTTACAGAACAAAAGCCCTTCGATCCTAATACAGACCCGCAACGTATGAACATTACCGTTTCCATTGACACAGTATCTTACCTTTTCTACCTAGTCGGGGTTTCATACGTTTCCATCTTTATTCTCGCATACAACATCGTCATGTGGATCGGAGGCGCGGCCAACACGCTTGCCTGGGACTACGCTCCAGGTGTGCCTCAAGGTGACGCGGCTAATGTTCGTGTTAGCTGGCGCGAAAAGCCCATAGCCGCTTTCTTCCTGCATTTGCGAGCAAAGCTCCTCGTCCGACCGAAGAATTCTGATTGTGAGAAGGCCCAGGACGAGGAGGATACCGACTCAGAAAGGGACAAGGGACTATCAGTCGTCATGGGAAAACAACCTGAAAGCGACCTCGGAGAGATGGAAACGGACCCTGAAATACAACTGGCGCGCAAAGCTTCGAGGTTATCGGCCAATTCTCCTCGACCGAGACGACCCTCCGCTGGAATTAGTACTCGTCCCCGCGCCGGCTCGTTACTCCCACCGCCAAACGCGTCCGAATCTTCCTTGAAAGAACTTCCAGACACCGCTGTACAAAGTCCGAAGAACCCGTCAGTTACGGACCAACAGGAACCCGAGCTGGCGGAGGAGGAGGAAGAGAAGGCTGGTCGCTTCGCGTCCCTCTTTCCACCCTTCTTGCGAAGGACCTTCAAACCAATGGCGAGCCTGTTCACACCCATCACGATGAGCATGTATATTGCCATTCCGGTCTCGCTTATCCCGCAACTCAAGGCGCTGTTCGTGGAAGTTGACGGCGGTCCACATTATCAAGGTCCTGATGGGAACCCACCGTTGGCATTCATCGTCAACACAGGCAAGCTCTCATATACATATCGCCGTTTTCTTTCTAACGGTTATCATCATCATGTACAGCCGAGTTTGTCGGGAACATCACAGTCCCAATGGCTCTGATCCTATTGGGTGCTTCGTTCGCACGCATGAAGATCCCCCGTCCATTCAGTAAGATGCCGCTACCTGCGATGTTTTGGGTGTCATTCTGCAAACTGGCTTTGCTCCCGGTGATTGGAATACTTCTTACACAGGAACTGACACACCATGGTGTTATACCCAAGGACGCGCTTGTGGAGGTAGGCAATATGTTTCTTTTGATATGACTGTTGCTAATGATATAATGCGCAGCGTTTTGTTGCTATGCTTTTGAGCGGAACACCGTCAGCTGTAAAGTAAGTACATGCTTTGACAGGGCTGTGAGAGTGTTCATGACCATTCTTTCGCGATAGCCAACTAATCGTCACGCAATTATATGCGAAGGATCATGATCTAGATACGCTATCTGTGAGCTCTGAACTTATTGTCTTGTTCCCCTACCTCAAGCATCCTCACAGGCATTCTTGTTACTACAATGTAAGTTTCTTCGCTGCTTGGAAAGTCATATTGACACGATCGTCTAACAGATATCTTCATGTTCATCTCGACCGCGTATGTAAACATCTACATTGTGTGAACGACATTCATTGATGGTTTTCTTTTACATATAGAACCATAACCGCAATCGCGCTTTCACTCCTATAGGTTCTAGCATTCAATAATCCACAAGATTTGGATAACTAGACACATAGACACATCGTTATTTGTAGACAGTACCTTGCCAGAGCAACGGCAGTGATAAAGTTTGTGTATTTATTCGTCGCCTTCCTCTTCGCCAGCAAGAACAGTCTTCTTTTACACTTCCCTTTCGCGTACTCTAAATGGATTCGCTATATGGTTTGTTAAGAAATCGCCAGTGAATCATTGCCAGTTGTCCAGGAACTCAAAGTCAAAACGAGGAAGCAACGAGGACCATATAAATACCCATTCGTATGGGTCCCCAGACCTGCGAAGTAAAGCTTGAAGAACATGGATCTCTCATGATGATTTTGATGACATATGACTGGATCCGATATAAGAAGCTGAATCCACGGTAGCGCTGTGCATTATTTTACAGTGATAACGACGTCCCAATGTAATGTCCTCTTCCCAAATCCGATGAAGCTACTCCGGCTTCCTTTATACCTCTTACAAGCTCATGAAAACCATTCTGCATGTTATCGCGGCCGCCAAGGAAAGGCGTGACCATCATGTCCCGAGTTCTAAACGTTTCGCGAACAGAAGATTGCCGATCATATGTTATAGATATTGGGTCTCTTCCGGTCTGTACGTGAGTCAACACATGCTTGCTCTCGGCCTTCTCGGTCTCAACCTCGGCTTACTGGTATTTTCTCGACCTTTCTCTTACTTTCTCTCTTCTTCTTCCAGATACTAGAATAACAATGACTCGATCCCTTACTAGCTTTATATAAATATTGTACTTGTCTTTGTATTAGGATCTTAATCTAATTTCACTACTCTTCAACGTCCACTTAACTGTGTGATCTAAGCATTTCTGATCGGTTACGCCTAGCGCTTGCCGCTCCGTTTGCCTTCCAACTACGCCTAGCGCTTGTTAGCACCCTTATCGGATCCCTCTTGGTGGTTGGAACTCGCTCTCGGACATCCTCGCTCACGACTTGGGTTTTACTTGAGTATTCATTGTCTCGTGTACTACTCAAAATACTCTGATTCTTAACATCATGGTTCCAGAAGGGCAGAAATAAATCCGTCTCGTGGCTTTCCATATCCCACAAGAGCTAGGGCCACCAATCAACCTCCATATGGTAGATCGATTCCTTCTGAAACCGGTCAATCTGTTCATCGCATGTCAAGCGTTGTCACAGGCGAGTCATGATGCCAAGCACAGACCGTTTCAGTGGTAGTCCGGTAGGAATTGAGCAAGCGCCCAACAAGTGCGTATTGAGTACGGAATTGATGCAAGAGAGGAAAGCCCAAGGCCGCCACAGCGGAAAATGTCGCTGAGTTCACAGACATACGAAATCAGTGTAATGAGATTCTGTCCAGAATACCCGTAGGGAATGCCTCTTTAGACAGAGATATCATTTGATATGACACCCCAACCAAACGGTTCGAATACAAGATGATAAGGAGCAGATACGGTCAAGAACATTTCCCGTGGTACACAGACAGAAGAGATAGCAGTGATGAAGAACAAAAGCCGGTCCATCAAGAGGTTTAACAGCTCTAGGAGGCAGTGAAAAGAGACGATCAACGGGCCCAAGGTTTTTCGATTGGTGCTCCATACAGTTCTT